TAGTATGATCACCGAAATTAAACAGGGAAAACACAAATATTTATTAAAGATAAATCCAAAATCGAAAATGAAACTGAATGCTATTTTAATTTCCACGAAATAATGCCAATGCACGAAAAAAACTAACAAACTGGTCTGCCGCACACAGCTGCAACAGACACTTTCTGGTCGGAGTTAAACTCATAATTACCACTTAGCTCTCAGCTTCTGGAGAGCTCAGGTGGCCTACTTGTGCGTTCATATCCCCTGCAATATCTGAACTGGTAACGCTGCCTAATACCGTGTTCAGTTCGTGATAGAATGTGTTCTTACCAGCATCAGAACTACAGTCGGTAATAGCAGAAGCTGAGACCACAAGCAAACAGCATTTTGTACTACTTCTTGAATCATCCTTAGTTAAAGTCGTCAAACGGGCTGCACACTAACGGCTGTTCGCCGAAATTCAGCCAACCAATGATGACAGCCTTTGAGCTGAGAACGATGCCCACTCCAGCTTGACCAGTGGTTTTCACATCATCTCCGGATGCGTGCAACTAATAACGAGAGGATAAACCAGGTGCAGTTAATTCAACAACCCCGGGAATGTCATTGATCCTAGTTTCGGACACACAACACACATCAGTACTCAGGGTGTCCGAGGTGCGCGCAAGTACAGCTTATTGACCTATTTATCTTACAGTGCGAACGTTGAACGCCGCCAGGGAGACAGGACAGTGTGATCTGTCCACAATTCAGGGACAGCTTATCGTACAATCGGGAAATATACGTTATTATTATTATTTTATCATTATTATTATTATTATAAGGGGCTGTTGGCGTCCATGGGTGGTGTGGGAAAATACATGCGGACGGTATGGCTTCGGTGACATTACGGCTGCTTTCAATTGAACTTGGAATTATTGTAGGAAGGTTAGTAATGGTGGTTGATAAGGGAGTAAGAGAAACAGGTTGAAAAGAAACGGGAGGCGCCAGAGCATGTTTTCGCTTATCCGCCCCGCTGTATTCAGCAAAGAAGGTTACCCTTGATAATCTGCGCGCAAACATGCAGGATTTAATTGACGTTTGAGGAATAGGGAGGTCAGTGTTTTGCAGAGGACCTCACCTCCACCCTTAAATAGTGCACATGGCACGAAATCCGCCTCAGCGGTACGAAAATGATTGAGAGCTGTGGTTGCGTTTCGGACCTCGGCCTCCGACGGAGGCTCTAAACTAACCGTACATGACTCAACGTGCATCATCTGTGTAGGTCCAGGTCCGGAAGCAGGGGGGCAACTTAACTGATCTTGACAGGGTTCCGTCCAACGGGCCATACGGCGCTCCTTATCACCAGCGTTGTCTCTGGTTGTCTCACAGACGCCCGGTTTTCTGGAACCAGTGGTGCGAATAAGCTGGAAGAGCTTGCGGTAATTGCCTGTTGCTCCTGCCTCCTCTATTTCTTGAGCCCTACTGGTCCACAAGGCTACCTTGTCAGCACGCAGGCTCTGCTTTAGTTCGCGCCTAATAGCCCATCTGGTCACATTGAGTTCAGAGCCAGCCGGGAGGTGTCTTCTAGATTCCAACAGGTTCACCAAGCTCTCGGATATCTAGTGACTGGTGCGGTGACTACTGATAGTACCACAAGCAGATGCTCCTTCGTCCTGCGTGGAGGCCGAGATCCTATTCCACTGAAGCTCAGTGTCATTAGAACAATACCGAGGGCGGAGACAATTTATCAGTTGCCAATCGGAGGGGATGCTTGGTGCGCCTTCCAGTAAAGTTCATAGAAAAACGACAGCGTACTAAAGCATGATCAGAGTCGATGCAGCTACTCCAGTACGAGCGGCAATCCAAAATGGAACCACGCCACCTGTAACTTATGGCTATGTAGTCAATTTGGGTCCATCGCTGGCCAGCTACAGGAGGACGCCAAGTGGCACTTCGACACCCACTGTGTCTAAAAACAGTACTACTAAGAAACAACTGGTGCTCCACACACAGTTGCAGCAGATGCTCGCCGTTGTCAGTCCGTTCGGAGTTAAGTCCATAATTACCACCCAGCTGAGTTTCTGAAGAGCTCAGACGCCCTACTTGTGCGTTCATATCCCCTGCAAGTACTATAACATCTGAACTCGTAGCATTGCTTAGTAGCTCGTTCAGTTCGTCATAGAATGTGTCCTTGACAGTATTTGAACTGTAGTTGGTGGGAGCATAAGCGGAAATCACAAACAAACAGCGTTTTTTACCACTTCGTGAATCAACCTTGTTCGACGTCGTCAAACGAGCTGAACACAAACGGCTGTTCACTGGAATCCAATCAACCAACGTTGGCTCAGGCTTGGAGCTTAGAATGATAAATGTGGCGATGTTCGAGGTGCTGGCGGAGTGTAAAGATTTGATCCACGCATCCGCGGCCGAGACGGAAACCAGCTTGTTCTTCACGGTAGTATGATTCACGTACTGGGAATAGTCTGCGAAGCAGTATTGATACCAATAGCTTGGAGGTAACCGAAATAAGACTAATCCCGCGATCTTTTACACATGGAGTGCTAGCGCCTTTCTTGAAAATCGGGACAATAACTGATTCGCCCCAAGAGGAAGGCACTTTCTCTTTATGCCAGGTTTTAGCTAACAGCGCGATTAGCTAGTTATTAATCGTCACACCGCCGTACTTGAACAGCTCCGAAGGAAGTTCGTCTGATCCGGTAGCCTTGAACCGCTTCAAGCGTCGAATCTCGAGGCAGACTTCCGCTTCGCTGGGTGGATTCAGTGGGACGAGCCAGGGTGGACAACAAGGTGTACTGATGGATGGTGGAGGTCAGTTGAACTGCGAGTAAAATGCTCGGCCCAGCGGTCCATCCGCCTCTGTTGATTCGTGATCGGCGACTCATCCACCTCACAAATAACCTCACTGACACCAGGCTTCCTGAGGCCAGTGAATCGAATGAGTTGGAAAATTCTGCGAGTGTTGCCAGAGAGGGCAGCAGTCTCCATCTCTAAAGCACACTCAGACCGCCATGTCTCATTATCCTTTCGTAGGCTTTGCTTGCGCGGCCAGTTGGCAGAACGGCGCCGCTCGTTGCAATCTGATTCCGCGGGGATATCTTTGCGACGTTCGAACAGCTCCAGAGCACGAACAGAGATCCAAGCCTTTAAGGGGCGTCGAGTTAGGTCGCAGCTTGACTGTCCGGAAATGGTCCTCGCTTTCCGTATACACGTCGAGTGTTGCTCCACGTCTTGCGGTGGATTGCAGCTGAGTGCGTATGACAGTGAAGTGTGCTAGCTCGCCTGGACAGAGGAATCAGTTACTCTGTTTAAATCAATATTGCGGTGCATCGTTTTCCGGGACATCCCAAACTACATACAGATTTTCGCGCAGACCAGTGCATGATCTGAGTCAACCAAGGTGGACCAAAAGGATCTGCAGTCCAGTACGCTTCCACACCATCTGAAGCTGATTGCAATGTGATCAATTTGAGACCACGGTTGTGTTGGCGAATGGAGACGCCACGTTGCAGAACGCTTCTTCGTACGCCTGAGCTTAGTGCTCGAGAGTAACAGATGGTTTTCTTCGCACAGAGCGGTCCTCATGGAGCGCGTGGCGACCATCAAGGTGGCGTTCGTATAGTAACAGGCGGCCAACCTGTGCATTGAAATCCCCAACAAGAACAACGACATCCAACATTTTAGCATTAGTCTAGAGCTGATGTAGCTCCTGATAGAAGCCGTCCTTGACCGGGCCACTACTGCACACAGTCGTAGCGTACGCGGAGATCACAAACAAGTTGCGCCTCTCTTCGCGACGCATGTTGTTTCTACATGAACCATGAAGCCGAACTGCACACAGCCCGCTGTTAATCCGGAACTAGTCCAGTATAGTCGCCTCGGCCTTACCACTTAGTGTTACCTACACCAGGCAATTCCGCTGGGACTACTTCTGGATCTCCAGAAAGACACAGGTGATATCTAGCTTCTTGCTCAGTTGGGGATGTCAATGTAAGCACAGTGTTGAGGTCTTGCAGTCGGGTTTCTGAAAGGCAGCAGACGTCAATATCGACTGACCCTGGGGTGCACGCTAGACTGGCTTGCTGTCCAATCTGCATGGGTGTCCGAACGTTAAAGCACGCCCGACGGAACGTGGATCGGTGTCGAAGGCGAGCCATAGGTTGAACTCCGTGGTTCGCGGCGTCATCTGAATGGCATCCAGATATTTGAACACATGAATCGGATAACGGAAAGTAAGGATTGTTATCAAACAAAAGATTGATGTGTGATGAAGTCGCGTGAAGGTAAGGAGCAGAAACGTTAGCCGGTGACCACGTTGTAGTACAGTGCATGATTTTGTGAGAGGGCGTGATACTACCCAGTTGCCCAAACCGAAGTAGGGAGTTGACTTAGGGGACCCCACTCCGAGCCTTTGGCTAACTAACCTACCCGCAAGGCAGCGGGGCGAATTCGGGGGATCGCGCCTATTGGGAGTCGCTGACTGAATGTTCACTTCATACGTCTTTCGTTTGGTAGATCACCAAACAGGGGGCCAATATTCCCCATGCAATCAGTACAATCGCTGGACTACAATACCCCACCGAGGTAGAGCACTGTCGCCGAACACTTCGCTGGAACGCGGTAAACCCGAACCACCCAGCTGACTCCACGAAGAGGTAGTTCGACAAGCCAGCCACATATTTCAATGGCTGAACTGAACCGAACTATCCGAATTTGTGAAGCAGAGCACGTCTCCTTTGTTTATGTTTTTGATATCCGCCCCACAGTCCTTCAGGTCCGATAGAAACTGTTCGGTCAATGGTGGCCTCGTTTGGTAACGATCGATGTCTACTAAGCGCCTTTCACTCGGTATCACCACATACTACTATTCACTCAGCGTTATTGAGTAACTACTTGAGGTATTCCGTTTACTTTTGAACTCATTAGACCGTTCGCTTCAACCGTTGGATACTCACATTCTTCACCCCCAGTTTTGTGATATTTTTACCAATTTTCCCACCCTCTTTTTCCTATTTCAGTTAACTATTGTGTGCTCCTTCTTCGTTCTCTGTTTGCTCGCTGGCCCAAAGCAAATGTGATGACTGATTTTGAAAATGGTAAGCTGATTGCACTGCCCTTAACTGCTTACTTCCTTGGGTTTTCGATGCTATTGCATAATCTTGCTTTTGCATATCGGCTTGTAAAACACTTCGAATGTTCGTTTGTTGACTTGAACTACTACAACAAGTAAAGGAGTCATGTTTTACGCCCCAACCAACATCATCTGTTTCGTTTACTTGAACCCCCTTCCTTGTGCTCTGTGATGTGATGTTGTGTAATTCGCGCGTTTGGCTTTCCGCCTCTGCACAACATGTTCGAACTCTTCATTCTGCGTTTATTTTCTTCGCTCGCGCACTCAATCTCCATACCTAATTCGAATGGTCAGCAACACGGGTATCGTAATCGTTTTGAGGGACATGTATGTTCACTCAACAGAACCAACTCAGTTCTGTTTATTGGTCATTGTATCGGGGTGCAGTGAATCAAGTTGGCTTGACACGTCATCAAAATGATCATGGTAACAATAGTAATGATACTGTCTCTGGAAGGGATTAATTTGAATCGTCAGATGGAATGGTCAAGTGTCCAGTCACTATGATGTGGACATTTCCGATTATCTTATCCGGAGGCGGCAACTTGACTCCTCTCTTCTGTGCGTTAATTAAGCCTCGTTTGCCTCTTGTCCACGTGGGGATTTCACCCGACCAGACACATTATTGGCAAACAATGCACTCCAAGGTAGCTTGCTGAAAGGCGTTTAGATCACATGACTGAACTAACGAAGGCAGTTCAAGTTCAGTGGACGTTTTAATGCGAAACCGGAAGACATTTTACCGGATTTCACTTGATAAACTGTAGTGGTGATGAACACACTCAGTCTCCTAGCGTCCTCAGTGCGCAGCGGTATACAGTCAAACTAGCAGCTCACTTCGCATAGTCTTTGCAACTAACGGAGGCTTTGAATATCTACACGGGCCTTAACAATGCTTGCAGTATCCGTTTCGGCGGTATGGCTGCCAAGGGGTGTTAAATCTACCTTAATATGTGAGCTCCTCAGGAACTTCAACCAGTTGTTCAGTGATGGTGAAAACTGGTGGTTAGTAAGGCCAATTCCGTTACAGCAGCTTGCACTTTTGAAGGAACAGAACACTTGTCGAAGCGTACAGCGTTACGCGTCAACTCATTCAGTGGCGCTTACGTAGCAGCTAGGCTTAACTGTCAACCTCAGTGCTGGATTTGACATTCTTCATCAACTTTTCGGTGCAAACTTAAACTCGCGTTACATGGCGGCTATGAAACTGACTCTCATCAACCCGATACACCAGTTCGCCGTCTGCTGTACACGGCACTGAATACCGTTTTATAGGAGCAAGAAGTTTAATCTGCCCAACTTCATGCAACTGAGCTCAGAATATGAACAAACGTCATATATTACTAGTCAAAACTGATCGTTTTTCAAGTTCCCATTTGATATCGTAGAAACAACTCGCAACAACTTGGGATGTTGTCACGGTGTAATCACTCTCAGCATCTAACCGCAGCGAAACTGGAATTCAACAATGTTGAACTGTTGCGCTGAGTTTGCTCCCACTATATGCTCCGCATACTCTTCCAAAAGTTTGCTCACTCGCTGATTGAAGCTCAGGGAGCATGCAGCCTGTTCATGTTGTCAACGGACTTCAGATCGCAACGTGAGTACACCTAGGTCCTTCACGAAAGGTGTGGGATGTAGTATTTGGGCATTAAGGAGGTAGGGTCAGTCGCCACTACCATTCCCCAGGCTCATTAATACGAACTTAGTTGTGTTGACAGGGAGATGAACTTCTGCAAATCACATGGAGGGGCGTTTGAAGTCTTGTTGGGATAGACCGCAATTGTTGGGAGCATCAATCGCTCTCCATATCTTCAAGTCGTCTACGAACAGAGCATATGATGACCGAAGAAGCTGAGATAGATGGTTGATCTACAGCACGAACAAAATAAGCCCCAGCACTTAGAGCGGGAGGTCCCATGGTGCGTTGAGGCTTGTGTTGGCGAAATCCTGGCAGATCCTTGATCCGCTGCTGTAAATATTGTGCCGTAACCTCATGCCCTGGACGTCTCCTCGTGATGACCGCTGGGTTGCAGTAGGGTTGCATCCTTCTTCTAGCTAAGAGCGAGGACAATTCCGCGTGACTTGGTTCATCGACCCATGGCACACGGCCAACTGTCTTTCGGATGTACATTTTGTCGAAGGCTTCGGTTGAGAACCCGAGTCATTCTCCTGTCAGGTGTGGGCGCCCTGACAGTATCCTAGTCCAATCCTCAACCATGAATTATGTCAATAATATTACTTCCATGCTTAATCGGTTGTCGCACAGGGGCATTAAGAAATGGGTTGCCTTATCTGTTGAATACAGCGGGTGGGTAAGCAAAAACATTCTACCGCTGACGTCCTTCTTTCCTCGTCCCTTGCACATACTCTCCCCCTCCCCGTTTTCATCTAACCCACTTCTTCCTCCAATCCAGGTCGTCACCAGTTATACGGTTGCCTGCCAATGCAATCGTATGCCTCCGCGCAGAACGCTCAACTTTGGGTGCTAAAACGTGCACACACTACACGAATGGAATACGAGTGAGCGCCCCTAACGGCGCACTGCACTGGTCGCAATGGAACTTCTGCGTTACGGAATCGAAATTGCCCCAGTCGGTGAGACTACTCGCTGACCAAGGCAAGCTGCGTGAAGCTGGTGCTGGTCCCATGTTCTATTGGGTGGGGAACGCCACCCCAGCACCACTTGAAGATGGCGTCGGATTTGCACTATCCGACTGCCTAAATGGCCAGCTAGTGGGACAGTTCACCGGCATCAGCGCACGACTGATGACTCTCCGCCTGCGAATTGGAAGAGGTACACTACTTTTATTGGCACGTATGGTCCCACCTTGCATCTCATGCTAAGGCTGATGTTGCATACATGATACTTCTTCACCGCAGTTGAGCTACACCGACTTACACCTAGACTATATTTTCTTAACCGGAATAAAAGGTATTCCTCTTTACTTGATTTCCTTAATTCTGTTATGCTGCTGCATATTCCCTATCAATTTCGGGCAGTTATTTTCTTTCGAATTCTGTGTTGTATGTTTGCTATCCCCGGTATGGCTGCGCTTAATGTGAATGTTGACAAGGTGCCTACCATTCTATCACTCTCCACCTCGATTGCTGGCTTTAGGAGACTGAATCGTTGTTGGCGGGACGAGGTGCACGGTCCTCGCGGCTATGCTAGGCTCAAAGATTGGTCCCATCCAGTGTGGAGCAAACTACGGTCCAGCCATCGTTTTGTGTACGTCTGATACGTATGATAGATAAACAGAAAGGCCGCTGTTTTGCTTGTTGAAGGAGTGTGGACCGACCCCGTGATGAAATGTGGCTCCAATCCACATGCCTCATCGTTTTATTTTTTCTGGTTTATACTGAATATGAAGTGTGTGGATGGAACTGTGGGCGGTGCAGCGCAAGTCACTCATGATCCCTCTGTAGGCGCATTCCTCCTGTGGCTGTACTGTGGATGCCGCAGTGATAGGCAAATCCGGAACCGGATGCCGCCAATCATAGTCCCACGATGTGTTATCCTGATGACTCTCGTAGTCAGTTGTACACTCAGCTATCCTCCGTGATCCGGTCTGTGCCGAGGAGCGACCGCTTATTTCTGCTGGGTGATTTCAACGCGCGCATTGGGCGTGCTGCATCGGTGTGGACGGATGTCATCGGTCCGCATGGCATTGGTTCAGCGAACGCGAACGGTGACAGGCTGCTCTCACTGTGTGCCACTCACGGCCTGACGATCACCAGCACTCGGTTTGCAGTGCGTGCAAGTGATATGGTAACTTGGACGCACCCACAGTGTGGCCACGCTCATCTGCTCGACTATATCATCGTACGTCAGCGTGACATGCGTGAAGTGCGCATGACACGTGTACTGAGTGTGGTACTGATCACAAGTTGGTGCGGACTAAATTGTTCATATTTTCCTAAATCTATGTATTGCACTCCTGCCGTCAACTGGCGGAAATATAACGTTATTTTACTGATGAGTTCAGAGATTGACTGGGTTTTGCTGCACGGGTTGCAACAACAAGACTTACTATGTCTTGCCGACGCGGCATTTGATGTATAGCGCAGTTGCTCAGCTGGGAAACGGCAAATGTGCCAGTGCGGACGGGATCACGCTTGAAATATTGAAACACGGCGGACCCGCGTTGGTGATTGCGCTGCACCACTTGGTGCAACGCGTGTGGATTGAAGTCCCGGTCTTGCTGAAGAATGCACTTGTGCTACCACTGCACAGGGGCAAAGGGAGCAAGCAATGTTGCACGAATTATCGTGGCATCAGCTTGCTTCGTTATTTGGGTAAGGTGTTTGCCCGAATCCTGCTCAACCCCCTCGTCAGTCAGGTTGTGGAACTGAACGTGGCGGAAGAGAAATTTGGATTCCGTTCTATGTGGTGTTTGCGGCTCGTCAGTTGCAGGAGAAATGAATTTGGCTGAATTCCGCTCTGCAGTGCCGTGCACTCCGTTCAGCCCCTATTCTGGAACACTGATGTATATGCTTGGCTTGCATCATATTTTGTACCTCTTTTGCTTTCTTATGTCAGGTTCTATCCTGCCTGAGTGATTGCACACGCGGACGCGGTTAACGTCTGCTCGTGACTCGTAAGACCTCGGGGTGGGGTACGAGCTATTTGGGTGGGCGATTAGAAAGGGTTGACCAGTTTCGATATCAATAACACCAATTACTGTCTCGGTGATGTGCCGAACTTCACGTGCGCTTATTCGTCAAATGTTTTCACCTTTCGCGATGCACCTACATGACTACGTCCGCATTAATTGTCATTGGTGGATTAAATACATAAACCTAGTGCGAGCTGGCTCCGCATCCAGTGAGTTTTACATGGTGCGCTCGAGGTCGCCTATCCCCTCCCGCAGCCTGATGTGTTCGAATAGTGGATGGATACCGTATATTTCTATCGGCGTATTGACGTTTTCTTCGTGGTGTCAATTTCAAGATGTCTGGAGC